CCGCCCCCCCGCCCGGGATTGGAAAACAGAAATGCGGTCATACGCTAATGATTTAAGAATATTAACTCGCAAGAATATTTTCAGCCTAAAAGATGGCATTGCATGAAAGAATAAATATCCCTTTACGCTATAGCTATCGTCAACCAAGATACGGCATTTCAGAGTAAAACAGAGTAAAATAACACCCTGTGAGCAGTTGGTTTCTCCTACTACTCGCAGGGTACTAAAATCAATAACACGAGCTCATTTTGTGCTTTAAAAAAAATACGGGATTCGATTTATCGTCCCTTGCGTGCCGCTTGCCTCAGGCTCTGTGAAATAAGCTAGGACTCTAGCTTGTGCTTGCGCTAAATCAGCTTAAATCAGATTACCGAGGTGTAGTCCCGAAGTCTCTCCGTCCTAAATGTGTCCTTTTCCAGGCTGGAGGCATATAAAAGGGTAGGGTTAGTATAGAAAAGCGTACAAAAAACTGCCATTTAGGAATTTAGAAGGGCCCTGTGAAATATCTCTCACGGGTAAATTGGTGACGAAGACGCACAGACGCCGTTTTGGGGTTTGATATTAACGTTTTGGAGGGAAGAAATGTTTTTGGTGGACTTTTTATTAAATAGAACTATTTCTGTAAGGCTTTTTTAGGGTCGGTAAAAGCTTTCTGTAGGTACAGTCGAACCTCCTCCACAACGATCACCTTGGGACAGAGGACAGTGGAAAGCGAATGTATGGACCGTCCGCCGGGACACCAGTGAGGTGGCCATTAACGTGGAGGTTCTATTGTATATGAAAGGGGCACCATCTACTATGGAAGGTATGTTAAATGATTACTTTGGTATATTAAAGGCCAGGTCAAGGCTTTGGACCTTTGGTGGACCCTAGCTTCCTGTACTAAACTTTGTTGAGGATCTCCCAGGGGTGGTCCCCTATAAAGAGCATTGTTTCTCGCGGGACTCCATGCCGGAACATAACCCCTAGGATTACCGATCGCCGAGACAGACATATCAACTGACCGTTGCTCGTGAGATCAAGACGTCTTTCTTATCAGCTCAAAATGAATCTTTTCTTTTGGAAAGTTTATGTAAACACTCATATAGAACTTAAAAGTATTATATGAGTGTATACATAATACTCACTACGTAATGATTGAACATGTGTAACAAATTAAGGTTTCAGAAGATGAATAGATCCAGCACGAAATTAAGAGCTAAAATCTGAAATCGTGCCTGAACTTTTTCTGTTCCCTTTCATAAAAGCTGACAAATATGCAATTGGAGGATGGGAAGTGTGTTGAAACAAATAACGAAACATTACTTGAGTTAGTCTTTTTGTTCTACCCCATCCCTGGAGACCCAGGGGCAGCTAGTCGGGACGACGCGATTTTCTCGGGTGAAAGTTTACATCAAGAGCGGAAAGGAATTGGAACGCTTCTGGAACTGGTTCGATAAGAGTAAATTGCCCAGGGACTCTCCCACTCTTATTGTAAACTTAACTTTTTCCCGAAAATATCGCATCGTCCGACTAGCGGGCGGGGCGAGGATCCGTTCCACCCTCGAGCGTGGAGCTCGTTTTCCCTGACCTGATCTCTCACCACCTGGAGTTTTCTGTCAGCGCTGGATCAAATCTACGAAAGGATTGCATGACCAACAAGAAAATTAAACATATTGACATGTCTGGAAACTAGTCTGGGAAAGGCAATACAAAACAAAGGACTGCCGCTTCCTCTACAGTTGTGAAAGTGCTTACATTCTGCAAAACGCACAAAGGGTTTACAAGTACCATATTTGAAGGCAGATCTACAATTTAAAAGGACAGGGGTTTTTTTGGTTTAAAAGCTAAGAAGAACTTTATATAGGTTTTCATCTAGCAGGCCAGGAAAACAACTCAGTTATCCAATCTGTGATTTCAGCTCAGACAACTATTGCATGTAATGATTTTTTTACCAACATATTTCGTAATGATGCAAAATATTTTACGAAAGCCTGCGCTTGTATCAAGAAACTGCACACAAGTAAATTCCGATATTTCTTGACTGATCTAGAAAAAAATATATATATATATATTCCAAATATTTGACGCGGCCCGCCAAAAGGAAGTTTTAATATCATGCAACTGCCTTGAAAACAAAACCAGGTTTCGTCAGGTGATATGCCTCTGGTATCGTAGATTAGTTTATTACCTAATAACGGAAAATAAAAGACATTGACGGAAGTAGTGAACCGAAATATAAACTTAGAAATGACAATTCCTTTTTAAAGATAACTCAGATAACCGGCAAAACAATATTCTAAGACCACGAAAGACTCTCTCGATAAGTTTCAATATATTAAAAAAATTATGTCCAGGCGAGGGCAATATCATAGCGAAAAGCAAACCAATACACACAAGTCCTAATGAATCAGTTGTAAATTGCGAGCCGTTAAAAAAGGTTCAAATTAGAATAGAGGAAACAATTGTTTTAGAATATTTTAATAAATTTATCAACTTCACTGCTCAAAACAATCAAAGCGCCACATTGTTAAATTCTCTGATTTCATTGGCTGATAGTCTGGGTGGATACAGGGTGTTTATGGGGGTGTGACAGCTGATTGACCAATCACATCAGGGTTACATAACCTGATAAATTTAACATGTGTTCAGCAGCGAAGAGACAAACTACGTTGACGGCTGGTGAAGCGGTGTACTGCTGATTCTCCCAGGTTTTCTTCAAAATTTTGCCATCAGTATCACTTTAAATACAACACCAAGGTAGGT